AACAAATTAGATGAAGGGCCTACCAAATCTCCCATAGCAGGGGTAAGACAAAAAACCCAACAAACCCCCATCAGAGTTCATAGATAGAGTCCAACAAAATATGTAGTTAATGATTGCCCTCAAGGGATTACTGGAGGGACGGGAATGCCCATACAACATATGAGGGGGCATTCTGGGCTTTCAGGATTCCTGTCCAGGGGAAACCATCGAGCCAACAAGCTGGCATTGGGATTTAGGATACTGACCTTAAAAGATAGTCCATACCTACAAAGCATTCAACTCTTCCTAAAGGTACTCCCTTTTTAAACACAGGGAGTTAACCCCAGAGCCAAATATCCTCTGATAAATATCTGTTAAACTTAAACATGTTTTTGTTTTAATAGAACAAAAGGGGGAATTAGCCCCCATATTCAGTTATTCTGCACCCTGTGGCCATTGTGCTCTGGCCCCAGGGCTACAAGGACACCAGCATCGGGCCCCAATCAGGGCGTTCTGCTCCCCAGCCACTCCTTCTTGCCCCTTGTGGGGCAGGAGCTCCTGGAGTGACAGTCCTTACAAAAGTGATGACAGAATACAAGCTTGTGGTGGTGGGTGCTGAAGGCATGGGAAAGAGTGCCCTGACCATCCAGCTGATCCAGAATCATTTTGTAGATGAATATGACCCCACCATAGCGGATTTCTATCAGAAACAGGTGGTCATTGATGTGGAGACATGTCTGCTGGATATCTTAGACACAACGGGTCGGGAGGAATGTTATGCCGTCTGGGACCAATGCATGTGCATAGGAGAGGGTTTCCTCTGTGTGTTTGCCATTAATAACACCAAGTCCTTTGAAGACATTCATCAGAACATCAAGCGGGTGAAGGATTTGGATGATGTGCCAATGGTGCTGGTAGGGAACAAGTATGACCTGGCTGCTCGTACTGTTAAGTATTGGCAGGCCCAGGACCTTGCCCGCAGCTATGGCATCCCCTACATCGAAACATCAGCCAGGACCCAGCAGGGTGTGGAGGATGCCTTCACACTTGTATGTGAGATTCAGCACCACAAACTACAGGAGCTAAACCATCCTGATAAAGAGTGGCCCTGGCTACATGAGCTGCAAGTGTGTGCTATTGTGGCATCAGATGGCGGTACTCCAGCTGATGGTCGTCCTGCTCTTCCTGGCTCCTGTTACAGCCTGGAGGTCTCATTCCCACACCACTGCTGCCCCCACATCCTTCGGCCTCCCTGTCTTCCCTACAGCAGCCTCTGACACCCACCCCAGGAGAACTCTATCACCTGCTTCCAGTATCCACTACCACTTCCCAGGGCCCCACTACTGGCTCCTCAACGTCCTCGGAGCCTGGGGACAATGGTGACTATACCAAGATGGCCTTTGGTGTGGCTGCACCCCACTGCCATAGACCAACCTGCTCTTCCACTGCAGCCCTCGCACGCACAGCCAATGGCAAAAGCGACGTCCAACACCCCAGGGCTGGCGGCTAAAACTGTCTTTGCTGCTGCTGCTGAGCGAAGCCCCACTGGACCTCTACTTCTCAATGTATGCTTACTGAGAAAGACTGTATGTGGACCAGCCAGATGGCATACCTCTGCTCTATGCTCCTGCAGAAGTCCCCAGCTTTCACTTGGGCCAGCATCTTTCGGCTTTGGATCTACATCCATGAGGACACTGACCTTTTCTACCTCAACCAATAACCTGGACCACATTTCCTGGGAACAGCTCAGCATTTGTAATGGTAGCTTCCCCTTGCTTATATCTTCCTCCAGGTCTTCCTGGGGTCTGCAATCCGGCGGGAGGATGGATGTCATTGGCCAGGCTGTGCCCATGTGTACTTCTCCTTCATCAAAGACTGCTTTCCAGCATGTAGCTCCCTCAAATCCCAGGACCTCTACGTTCTTGGAAGGGGAGAGTTTGCCCTTCCATTGCAACATTGACAGCTTGGAGATGAGCACTTGCTGGGCCCTGGACCAGGAGCTGCTGCAGGCCGCAAGAATATATCATAAGAACTCAGCTGGTTATGGCAAAGTCACTACCTGGAGGGATCAAGGATTTCCTCCAGAGGAAGCCAAGTTCCAAGGAGTTTTTGGTGTTACTTGGCTTGTTATATATCAGCTGTATTCTGTTATGAAAATCATGTGTGCCTTCATAGGTTTCCCAATTGACTTTTCCCTAAGAAGGGCTAACAGTGTGGACTGATCACTCTCTGGACATACACATTCCAGGTATTTGGATAACAGCCTCAGGAAAGGCTTTCTCTGGAACCTTAGCCACTTTCAAGAACTACAGGAAACACCACCCAGGTGGGCACCCAACTTCCGAGGATAACAGTGATAACAGCCCACATGCAAATCTCCTGACTTAAGGTAAATTCCACAAGGAGACATTGCCTAGGTCAGGTGGACCTTAAGTAATAGCTTTACACAATTTGGCTCGGAACCTCCCTTTATATACCGGGACTTCCAGGGCACAGAATGGAGAAGAGAAAAGAGAATGGAAGAACTAGA